TCAGATTTCCCGTCCACCAGGTGGACGGGAATCCCACACTTTAGATAGGTTTTGTGTCAGGCCCTATTCTGTGATAGGGCCTGAACTTCAGGTTAATTATGAGTGGCAACCAGGACCGCTGAGAGAATTTGCGGGGCCCGGGCCAAATCTTTCCCGGGGGCCCCATGACATCATTATTTTTAAGCTAGACCCAACTAGACCTTAATTTAACTAGACTGCATGTGGAGGTACTGTGAGGGGCCCTCAATTTGAAAAATTCTCTGATTAAAGAACCTACTCAATTTTAGGCTCTCACTCTCAAGTTGGGGCCCTATTAAGGTGGGGGCCCGGGGCAATTGGCAGCCCTGGTGGCAACTCTACCTTAGTATCACAATGGCAAACATGAAAGAAAAATAGGTGCAAAAATCCCAAAACCGGCCCTAAAGAAACTAACACAGCGAAAAATATATAAAGTGCAAAAATGTTCCATTACCTGTAATAAATATGAAGCTTAGTGAAATTACATAAGACTTATTACTGTAACTATTTTATTTTATTTTATTAACTATTTTATTTTATTTATTTTCCTATTTTAAATGAATCTTTGGATGATATCCTTTGGATTTCCAATAAATGGATTCTACAATTCTACAATCTGAGGCTAACCCATGCAGGGTAATTATTTAGTATGACATTTATATTAAAGTTGTATTTAATACTTTTGTTTGTGGGACATTTATTTTAAACATTTTTGTTTTATTAGTTGCTACAAAATATTTACAATCAAGCAACCCAGTTACAAAAAGTACACTAGTCTAATGTAAAGAACTATAATGTAAAAGGGTGATATTTTTAAAATAGTACACATCAGCTAGGCCAGGATTTTTATAGAAAACTGTGCCACCTTGCCCCATAGTATGATTCGTCTTGTTTCCAAATTCCTCCATCCATACACCCTTGGGTAGATACACGGTATGGTTGCTTGCATTCTTGGTTACAACTGGTGCTACCAGGTATACGTCCGACACCATAAACTGCTGGTCGATGGTGAGGGCGGTCTCGTCCTCTGGTGCAACCCACCATAAAGGACGAATGATCGGGGCACCAGTTTCAATGGTTTCATTGACACCTTCCATCAATGTCGGCATTATGCTGGCTCGAATGTTCATCATATTGTGAGCAATTGCAACGGTTTCGTTGTCAAAATCCCATGGGGCAATTGAAAACTGCATGGCGGGAAGGAAAGCAGTCAGTTGCATCCATCGGATAAAAAGCTCTTTGGAGGGCTGGCCATTTCCACCAATCATATCAGGCAAGATGAAGGGATAGCCCAAAATTCCAAATGTTAAGACAGTCGGTATAACGGATGTCAACCCCATTGGAGTGTTCCATTCTGCATCTCTGTCTAGAAACCGCACAAATACGGACAAATTCTGGCTATGGTCTGCAACACGAACTTCAACCATGTTGTTAATGTCTGATGCAAGTTGTGCATAGTGTACGCTGTAATTAGATGGTATAGTGGTACCATTCAAGGTGTACTGGAAGGGTAGATAACTCACAGAACCTGCATCAAATTTGAACGAATCAATGCTATATTTTTTTTGAAAATCTTTTAGCCGATAATAAAACCAATCGTAGGCACTGGGTTTTGTAACGTCAACTGCAGCAGCCCAACCATTCCACCACTTTAGAAATCCAGGGGTCTTACCATCCCCTCCAACAACAAACATACCCTTCTGCTTACCCTCAGCGTAAGACTTAGAATACACGTTGGAAAATGGATGAACCCAAGTTGTGACCCGGCAACTGGCATTATGAATTTTTTCAATCATTTCTTGTGGCTTGGGAAATTTTTCCGGATCAAAATCATAATCACCATACGTTGTTGTGTACTTATCATCAATTTCAAGCTGACTGCAATTGAAATGATTTGCCACAATTTGATCAAGGAACGCTTCGACGTCATTTTGGTTCACCTCCGAATGGTACCTAACCCACGTCGACCATACTGGATAGCGCATCATTGTCTCATCGGGACCTTTTGTTATTTTCTTAAAAAATTTTTTAACCATTGCTTGGTGGATGGTTTTAACATTATCGCCTTGGCATATTTGGTAGTGCAGTTGAGGGGGGACACTTGTAGGTGGGTATAGGGTTGGGTTGATGGAAAGACAAAGCTGCCCAGGCTCTTTCTTCGTGTTTATACCAACAACTAACGGTGAAATTTGATTTCCGATAATCGCAATGCCTTGGGAGTTGACCCAGTATCTTCCCAACACAGGACCAAATGCCGGAATGTTCTGGTATTTAGCGTTAATGGTGTCTTGTGGGTAATACGCAGCCATCTCCATGACAGATTTTTCGAACGGCCAAACTTGATTATACAGCTCACCACCGCCGTACCAATGTCGATCTTTCAGCACAAAACAGTCAAGTGGGTAATCATTGATATTTTCCATCTCTGACCAATGTAGATCAGTGCAGTTGTCTAACAAATTTCTAACAACAAGTTTGGGACCATTCTTCCAAGTGTATTCAAAACCATCTTCAATAGGCCGCCTTTCCAACCTATACTTGCCTAAATTTTTCCCGATTTCAGCAATGATTGAGGATGGGTCTTCACGGTTTGATAAATAAATCTTGCCTTTGAGATCGTCTATATGTATTCCGCCAGCGCAAGTACCTTTTTGAGTGGTATTGGTAATTACAAGGCAAACATAGACCAGAATGCCAATAACTAACAGAAAAATAACAAGACCTTGTAACCATAGGAGTAGAGACGTATTTTTATCTTTTTTCGTGCCGAAAAAGCTTGGTTTTGATATCAGTTTTACTTCGTCTACACCTTTCTTCGAAGCCATCTTTGTTTTGTTTTTTACTTTTTGTCACGCGCCGTTTGTTAGCATCACGTGAAGGTCTAATGATCTGGGTAAAATGCGGATGCGGGGTTAAAACGCGGAACGGAATGGGTTAAAATGCGGAACGGATACGGGGTTAAAATGCGGAACGGATATGGGTTAAAATGCAGAACGGATACGGGGTTAAAATGCGGAACGGATATGGGTTAAAATACGGAACCGGATATTGGGTTAAAATGCGGAACGGACATGGGGTACGTTAAAATGCGCAACAGAACGGACATGGGGACAAAATGCGTCATTTTAAACTTCACCAAATATTTTAGGCACCGAACTAGTCTCCCAATAGCAATGAACATATATATATCAATCATCCACTAAAATATTTAAAAATAACAAAGTGGGCAACCTTGTTCCCAGGGAAGAGCCTGGAAACGAGGTTAGGTTATGATGATGATAGGCGATAGCCATGATATTATGGCGATGGTTTGCACAAAATTCCTACTGTGATCACAGAAACTTTGATTGTGTAAACCACAACATTACTATCATGATAAATTCTACGTTTTGAAGGATTTGCAAGAAATGTTTGACCATAGCCTATCGAAGGGAAGATGGTTGTGAAACTCATTAGAATAACAATATAACTCATTATCTATGTTAGTCAACGTTTATTCATAAATCTAGTCGTTTCACCGTCACGTGTGCATTGCATTTTTACCAAATCCACCAATAGCAATTTCCAGTTTCCCTATTGTTCGAGTCACGGATAGGCGACTTTCCTAAAACATTGCTATTGGTTAGTTGGACAAGAATACAATACACACGCGACGGTGAAGGACCAGATTTATGAATAAACGTCGACCAATATAGATCATGGTTATATTGTTATTCTATAGCGCGGACCCTGCATGAACAGGCTGTCAGAAACAGTACATTAAGGAATAGTGGATCTTCAGACGGAATAGAAAATATAAAAATCTACTATTCCGGCTGTATAGTACAAAAAATTTAAATTTCGACCCCTGATAGGCTATGGTTTGAGCAAACAGACTTGATGTTAAACACCAAGTCAGTTCCCTAAAACATTTCTTACAAAACCTTCAAAAGTTAGAAAATCTTCTTACCGAAGCAAAATTCCTAATGTGATCACAGAAACTTTGATAGTTAAACCAGGCTTCAATCTGTTAGTTTGCTCGGAATCAGAAGCCTTGGTATTTAGTCAAAAATAGTATTACTATTTCTTCGCCTTTGTGGTGCACTTGTTTTGCGCATGCTCGAGGTAAAACCAGACATCACACAAAACACATAAAATACAACAAAAGCCCAGTAAATAGCAAGATATATTTACGATTAGCGATATTGTAAAATAATCCAATAGCAACCTGCGTAAGTTTTGTTTAAGGCAAATACAATTTGCATACAGTTTATATTTACACTAGTGTTAGTATAAGCTTATTGCGAACACAACCGACGCCTCCACGTCATATACTGCTGAACGACAAGAAAGTAAATTCTTCACTACGAAATTATACATTTTTCATCATTCGCTCCCCCAGCACGCATCTGAAAAGAAAAGTGTTTGTTCTTTAGAATAAATGTTGAGAACTTCGATTCGTACAGCATACATAGCAGGGATCTATGTTTTAGGTCAACTTTTCTGTCGAGATCACTAATATTCTAGCCTGCATGGCAGGCGGGTCTTTCCCAGGCTTGCCCGATTTTAGAGACCGCCTGCCATGCAGGCTACTAATATTCTTCCTAATAAATTATTTTCTGTGCCTGTTAATGTAATGCCCCAATGCCCTAAAAAAATACCTGTGGTTCTAGTTTCAAATCGTGAAAAAATTAGGGTAGGTAGGTCGGAAATAAATTTTTTTGAATATTTTTTTCATGGTTTTGGCGGTTTTTTGCTGGGCGATTTTCAGTAGAGTCCCGACATCAATATTAACTATAGAGATGCGTATTTCCTATGGACAAATTTAGGCAGTTTGGTTCAATAATTAGTGTGACAACAGACACGATTTTGGCACGCTGTGTGAGCAGCCCGCAGCCACCCGGAGAAAATAGGGTCGCACGGTCAATCGCGTCGAAAAAATAATAGGGTCGGCAGAACAAAATAGGGTCGGTCGGGAAACCGGAACCACAGGTATTTTTTAAGGCCTAAGCCAGGTCAGAAAATTTTCTGGGATCCTATAGATGCCAGGGCCTACCATTATTTCCTGTCATGGTCTGACTATATTTTCGCCTCACTAGCTAGTGAGAAGAGTGCGTCCGGTTTGACTTTGCCAAACACAGGAGGTTCCCATTTCTTTCTGAAGTAACACTGATCTAATAAGATGTGGTCCTTACTGGACACTTTAGCTGTGGTAAAATTACAACGCTGCAAATAATTACACAAACTTGACGGTCATGATGACCGGGGAAATTAACATACGCCATTGACCGATGACTGGCCGTTATTTGCAGCGCTGAGATTGAATAAATAAGGGCAATCCTCACTGAACAAATAAGACATGGACCTTAACTGCACGTCCAGCTACACACGCAAAATCTCACATTTTGTAGCAAGTCTGCCAACAAGTTGTCTTCGCACTGCTTGTCCCAAGTTGTCTGTTCCAAACTGTTAACAACTTGTAACAACCTTGTTGATATTATCAGACTGACTTGTTGCAAGGTTGTTCCAACAAGTACGATACAGTCATGAATATGATATCACAATGTTGTTACAACCTTGTGTCATCAACCTTGTAGCATTCTTGTCATATCATGACTGTATCAGACTTGTTTGAACAACTTTGCTACAAGTCTGATAATGCCATCAAAACTTGTTAGAAGCTGTTAACAGCTTGTTTCAAACTTCTTACAACAACTGGGAACAAGCAGTGCGAAGACAGCTTGTCGACTGCTTGTGAACAGATTTATAACAACTTGTTTGCAGACCTGTGGCAACTTGTGCGTTTTTACGTGCAGGAGAACAGTTTTGTACTGATGGAGCTATCCAGTATAAACAAGTTAGTTTCGTTTAGATTTTCCATGGGATAAGCCTCATATGGGAAAACTAAAGAAAACAGGTTTGAACTGACAGAGCTACCTAATATGAATACAGCTTAGTTTCTTCTTGCGTTAGTGCACCTCTAGGAAGTAATTCTGAAAAAGAACGATTAAAGCATACCAGTTTAGTTCGTCTTCTTGTAGTAATGGAATCATTTGCGCCTGAATCGCAATCATCAAAGGTAGTTACAACTGCTTCTTCCAATAAACTAGCTACTTCCTGCAAGGCAAGAGAACAAAGTAATTAAGTAATTGTAAGAATACCATCGCTTGCAGCTAAGGATGAACGGTTGCTGGTAAAACATTGTCTATTCTCATGACAAAGTTTAATAATGTTTTTACCGAGAAAGTTCAATGTTTGTCAAGAGCACTCAACAGTTTTTAATCTGATCAGCCAATCACGTTCAACCAGCTCCAAGCTGATTGGCTGAGCGAATTGAAACCATCAAATGTCATCACAAACATTGAACTTTCTCGGTAAAAACATTGAAGTTTGACATGAGAATAGACAATGCTTTATCTGCGACGGTTCATCCTTAGTTGCAAGCGACGGTAGTACTAGTTTCACAAAGCATGGTATTTGCTAAATATGTCTCAAAAGTTGCCGGTTAGGTTATGTTCGTGTGTGTATGTTATGTTCGTGTATGTATTTCAGCCTGATAACGTAAAAAAATACCACAATAAAACGTATTAATACGAAAATTGGTGCGACTATAATGGACATTGTCCTAGGACGAATTGATTAAATTTTGGTAAAATGTGCGTAATTATTTATGCATGAAACATAAATTAAATCAGCATAAATCAGCGTAATTATTTATGCATGAAATTCACTATATTGACATCACATCCGACAAATTAATACTACACATACTAAAAATTATATTTGCGATTAGTGGACTTTAACCGACCTTGATTAGGGGTCCATGGAAAGAAATTTGCGTATGTTATAGAGATGGAATTTCAATTAGATTTTCAAATTTCGGCACTTTTAATATTCTCAACTTACACAATTTTTGAAAGATCTAAAGTTCTTAATTTTTTTAAAAACTAAAACTTAGCTATTAGCCTATTGTTTTAATAATCTGTTTTTAATCCTCTTTTCAAACAGGCATGGAAAAAATATCGCACCACGGGCACCTTTCAAGGCACCTCCACACACCGGTGCACGAGAGTTGAGAAAACTCTGATGTAAACTCTCGCTTGCCAACTTTTATCAACTCTTATCAACGTTTAACCAGAGCTTAAAACGGCTGTATCTCACAATTCACAAAGTCAGCATAACATATTTTTTGTAGTCGGTCACGCCAACTACAGACGCAAGCAATCTGATTTCAAAGTCATGCAATTCCTGATGTTCGTCAGCAAACTGACATAAAGTATTACGCACCTTGCCCTCGTTATCGGTGACTGCTGTTTTAATTCCCTTGCCAGTTCCCCATGATGATTGCTGTCGGAATACCAAGTCTGTCGGTGGTTTGTGCTGACCACCTCCCTGATTCGCCCAGATCTTTGAAAACATAAATTTACCAGTCAGAGACAATTTATCATTTGCAGAATTTAGTTAAGGGTGGGCTCTCGTAAAGGCGAAAGGGTGTCATGTGACAAGGGCTTCCCAATTATAATTTCACCAACTAAGAGTGTTTCTAGTTTAACGCAACCAAAAGCGTCAGGTTTTCTTCAGGACCAAAACTGAACAAGGGATGATCATCAGGAAGAATAGCTTAGAACTACGTATAAATAAAATTGGTTTACAATTCCTCCTGCAGTAACACTGGACAAGTAAGGAATGAACTGTTTGTTTCTGGTGTCATGTACTCAGGTGAAAATATATGCTTGTGATGTTGTGTGTTCACACCGGGAAAGCTGAAAAGTTTGCTTGACAGCGGTGGGAAACGAACGCGCGACCTTTGGTTTGCTACTCCAATGCTGTACCAAATGAGCTCCGAGGTCGAGGATTTCACTAGCAAACCAAAGGGGTCGGTGGGTTCTATTCCCACCGCGGTTAAGCAAACGTTTCAGTTTGCCAGGTGTGGAGACATCACACACATTTAAGTAAGGAATGTCTCCTTATCCTACTGGTCCTCTATGAAGAACAGTTTAAAACTGATAGAGTTATCCAGTGAAAATAAACTTAGTTTAGTTTTGAAATACAATATGTACGATATTCTTGGGCAAATAAAACTTTCTTATTACCATTACTATATTATCGTATGTGGCTATTCTTATTACCTTGGGATAAGTTATACATTCTTATTACCGGAAATAAGGGAAAACACACACACACAGGAGTTCCAACGTAATTTTGGGCATCATTTGAGATCGTTGGGTCAAGTTTGCTTCAATGCTCATCCAAGGCCTTGCTCTCACTGAGGCCGCGTTTACACTATAACGCTACGGCTAGCATTTCGTTAAAAATTCACTACGTTTCTTAGTATTGTGTTTACACTGTAACGAAATTGTTTGAAGTAGCGTACCAACTACGGACCACTACGCTTGGCACTCCGGATACAAATCAATACGCGCGCTACGGTAAATTTGCCGTAGTGTCATAGCGTAAACACGGCCTGAATTAGCAGGGGAAATGATGAATTGGAATTCAGGCTAAAATTTATCAGTAATCAACTCACCGTAACTGATTGGCCACCTCTAAGAACAAACTTTGGTGTAAATTTATAACTAATCGGTTCCTGACCATCAATCGTTCTAGAAACGATCCAACCGCCCATCATTTCCTCCTAGGATTTGATAAAATAAAACAATGGAAAAAAATTTGAGTTTTTGTAGCAATGTATAGACGTGTATATAATCCACGTTTACTGCGATGAAAAATATGTTGCTGTCACGTGACCAAATTTGCATTTTTTCGGACAACTTTCGCACTCCGCTATTCAAGTGTATACACGTGCGCGATATAAACAAGCGAAAATATCGCAAAATAAGGACGATTTGAAAGGGTTTTTTTTGTATTTGTGGGTATATTTTAACTCCTGTAAGTGTAATATGTAGCGAAGAGAAAAATTTCCCGTTGTGTGGGTACGAAAATATAGGGATATATTTCGCTCGACGGCCTCGATTATACTATCCATGATTATACTATAAGTGATTCACAAATTATGGTAAAGAGATGTGCTTGGGGAATATGCAAAAGCGATTCGAGGTAACCAGCACGCTTAAAAAAGGACAATGGGACTTCAGTATCTTTCTACAGTTTCCCAAGTGAGAATAAATCTAAGGAAAGAAGGCAAATTTGGATAAATGCATGTTGTCGAGGCGACAAGTTCGTCTGTCGGAAAGACAGCTATATATGCGGTTTTCATTTTATTGACGAAAATGGACCCACAGCGGATTATCCGTGATCCGATACCAGCTACAGCTGATGGGAATAAAGTAAGTTATATTTTATAATCAATATATTTGCGCTTTTCTACTAAGACCTGGCATGGACCAGATGTTACACTCTCGCGATTACCGATTATGCAGTACATCCTCCAGCGAATACAAACAGGCTGCGATGTGCTTGCAGCCTCTATAATCTTCGAATGATTTATATGAGGCAAGTCCCTGTTTATCATACTCAGCTGAGCTTTATATTAAACAGTTAAAAATATACAAACCGAAGGGTCGCGAATCTAGTATAAAGTCGTTCACAACTGGATATGACAATGGCTGACGTATCACCATATCATGAATAATAAATGTTTCTCTTGCGTTCTTGAGATCCGAATTTCCATATTCATGATTTGGGTCAATCGGCAACATCATTTTCTCCACTGCTTGAGCAATTTGAAGTAAAGCAGGTTTTAAATAGCCGTTTGCAGTAACGCCACGCATTTTCAAATACTCCTTTAGTTCGGCAACAGTCATGTCCGAAACACGCTTATTCTCATTACCATTTTTCTCTTCGCTATATTACACTTACAGGAGTTAAAATATACCCACAAATACAAAAAAAAAACTTTCAAATCGTCCTTATTTTGCGATATTTTCGCTTGTTTATATCGCGCACGTGTATACACTTTGAATAGCGGAGTGCGAAAGTTGTCCGAAAAAATGCAAATTTGGTCACGTGACAGCAGCATATTTTTCATCGCAGTAAACGTGGATTATGGATTCACGAGTTGTCCTTAGAGACAGAGTAATATAGGTGGTTTGCAATCAATCCCTTGAGATTTACAACATAAAGATACGGCGGTCATGTTGGATAAAAAGACGCTCCAAATAGAAGAGCTGCTAATCATATTCTTTTGTTAGCTACAAACCAAGAATATATGTTTCTCTATGCCAATCCTTTTCAGCCGTTTTGTAGAATACTACCTAGACTGGACCCCATGTTTGAGATCTTCTTCAGGTAGTTCAGACAATGGTTCTGACACAACACTACATGTTTGAGATATCTTTTTCAGGTATAGTTCAGGCGCAATACCTCCCCTACTGAAATGCAGTTAAACAATAAGAATTAAGACGGGGGCAACGGTACTTCCAATTTACCTTCGTGCCACTGTTGAAAAGTCTTACAAATTTCCCCTGGTTATCCGATTCAATAATCTGGACATTTCCAGTTGCCGCAGTAGTTGTGCTCGTGGTTGTGGCTTGCAAGTCTTCAGTACGCGGCCTCTTGTTCGATCTTTTCGGTTTGAAATTATCACCAAACACTGGCGAAGGCGGGGGAGTGATGTTTAATCTGTAACAAGAAAAAAATCGTTGGATATACATTTCAAAGGCACAGTTAAGCCATTTGATTGATGGGTTTTAAGGCGCATTTCAGCCCTTTTAATTAAAAAAAAAACAACAAGGAAAATCAATTATGCATGATTCACGATCTTACTACTCAATGGTTAACAATAAAAATGTTTAAAAATTTTAAAACATTGATTTTCCTAGTTAGTTTCCAGTGCCATGCATTGTACAGAATCATATATATAAGTTTTTTTAATAGTCATTATTTAATATAACAATTACGTTATACGGGTGTGATTGGATGCTTGCCACTTGCTCCTAAACAATGCTTGTGAATCGTGATATTTGGTACCAGATTTTTATAAGTCTTTCTATAAGTGTCTCTACCAAGGAGCTTTGTTCCAGACCTACCTGACTTCCTCGCCTTCCAGCAGCTTTCTATAAGCAGCAAGTTCCATATCTAAGGCAACTTTAACTCCCATCAAATCTTCGTACTGTGCAAGCTGTTCCTCCATGCTTTCACGGAGATCCCTGATTTCTTCGTCACGCAAGTTAATGGTGTCATTGGCACGACGTTGTTTCTCATCAAGCAGAACTTCCAGCTCTTTGTGCCGCTTTTGAAGGGAGTCGACCTTTTACAAAAACAAGAATGTTAACATCACTCATGTTTGAAACAAAATATCTTTCTCAAAGCCATATTTGTTTGTTTAAAAATTTGAAAATACTTCTTCAGAAATATTATCTGGATCAGTAGGACTTTTCTTCTCTGAAGTTTTGAAGTAAACAGACGTACATAAATACATAAACTAAAACAGCTGGGTTAAATTTTAGGAACCGGTCATTATTTATGACAGGGGGTGGCACTGAAGACAAATGTTTTTCTTGGTAAAAAATACCTCAAATATTATTTAAAAACTAAATACCCACCCCTGGCCAAAAACTTCACAAAAGGATACCAGGGTCATCATCTACCTACACTATCCAGGCTCGTGGTTGGTTGATTATAACAATGAAAGACAATAAAACTATAGAAATCGTCTTTCTAAAGAACGAGTCACGAACAATGATCATTTTTGTTTCTGAAAGCCAATCACAAAACATTATCATTTTAGGTATAGGTCTTTACCCGGGTACCATGCAGTTATCACACATGTCGGCAGGATTCGTGTAGTCTCCAAGATCAAAACAATTCAAAGACTTTCAAAGATTTTTTCTGTCTATTTTCAAAGACTTTTCAAAGACCTTTGAGAGCAATCAGCTGTCGAAAAATTACGAGAGTAATACACTTTCTTCGCTTTTTCACACAATTGAAAGATTTTTCAAAGACCTTAAAGACCTGCATTCTAATTTAAAGACTTTCGAAGATTTCAAAGACCGCTACGAACCCTGTGTCCTGTGCAATTTTCTGCAGTCTAAAGTTTCATGTTGTCTGCACATTTGGAGATACCATTTGCCTCCTTGGCAAATCGGAAAATGATCAAGATAGAGACTCTGATTGATTTACATATTGTATTGACATATGACTGTTGACATTGCTTTTTAGTCTTCAATATTTGAGTGAGTCATGCTTTGGAAATAACAACACATTTTAATAGTTAACGCAACCCTTGAGTTGTTTTGTTTTTCATTTACCCAACCTTTTACGCACGTGACTAAATTATGTTAACAGGGATTTAAAAAGACTTGGTTCAGGTCAGTCTCTCAAAGGTTTTTATTGGGGACAGGGATAACTGTCATCTATTTGCTCTCCAACATTATGTACTTTAATAAAATGATGTAACAAAGTTCCTTAGTTACCTTTGATTGGGCAACTGTATGTTCAGCTCGGACATCTTCCAACTTGTTTGTCAGATCTCTATTTGTGTCTCTTGCTTCAGCAAGCTTATTGCTATCTTCTCTTGCTTGATCTTTCATATCTTCATACTGAAATTACACTCATAATTTGTGGGAGGGAAATGTGAATGTTGAGATGAACCTTACAGGTTTTGGTGAAGGTACAGGTATACAGTACATTACAGAGAAGACGAGGGAAGCAACATTGAGATATAATAAGAAAAGATCTGAGATATTATAGAATGAAGATAGTCTGGGGTGGTAGACATTGCAGAGAGGATGAATGGACACATAATAAGAAATGATGATGATAGAGTTATGGAATGAAGAGATCAGAAGATAATGTGGGGTAGTAGACAATGCAGAGATGTATGGACAGATAACAAGACGAAATGAGAGCTGGTCAGAGACATTACAGAATGAAGAGATCAGAAGATAGTCTGTGGTGGTAGGACATTGCAGAGAAGATGAATGGACACATAATAAGAAATGATGATTCATGAGAGCTGGTCAGAAAATTATGGAATGAAGAGATCAGAAGATAATGTGGGGTGATAGACATTGCAGAGAAGGTTCATGGACACGTAATAAGAGATGATGAGAGCTGGTCAAAGACATTATGGAATGAAGAGAATAGAGATCCAAAGATAATGTGGGGTAGTAGACATTGCAGAGAAGGTGTATGGACACATTGAAGAGATCAGAAGATAATGTGGGGTAGTAGACATTGCAGAGAAGGTACAGTGTAATAAGATGAGATGAAGTAGAGCAGATCAGAGACATTATGGAATGAAGAGATCAGAAGATGTGGGGTGGTAGACATTGCAAAGATGAGGGAAGCAAGGTTGAGTTCCATACAATTCCATACCTTAGCTAAGTACAGATTCTGAACATCATTTGTAAGCTTTTCATTTTCTTCATCATAGATATCACGTAATTCTTGCAGCTTCTCGGTCATGATGCCTTCATATTTTGACTTGTAGTCACTTTCAATTTTCACTTTCTGCTTCTCAACATGCTGGATTTGATTCCTCATCTCCTGCAACTCCTGGAAGTCACACAACACATTGAGGAAAAGAACTAAGGTGCAAGGGGATATGCCCTGGCCCAAATATGATAGGGAGAGGGTATAGGTACCACATATAGTGCTATTTCTGAAGTTTTAAAATTATGACCTCATGGGGGCAAGACAAGAGGACCACCCCCAGATTGTAGGGGGGTTCATCCACTACATTTTCCAATCCAAGGTGGGAGCAGGGTCTTAGCTAGAAGGCCGTGTTATCGTGGCCAAAAATGTAAAAACACGGCTAGATGAAATGAACGCGGCTTCAGTATTAAATATTTATTTTTGGCCATACATGTAGGTTCATAAAATAAGGTGTTTCTACTTACAACATACATACTTTCTTTGTAAAATCTACTGTAGTTGTTGAAATTGCTAAAAGTGATCCGTGATATTTTAATGTTTTGATGGATAATGGGCACTATATGGTTGTTTAAATGGCTTTAAATGCCCCCAACAGTTGCTAAAATAATTTATTATAATGTCAGTGCGAAATATGAGCATATGCTCGCCTCATATTTGGTTGAAAAGCATAGAACAACCACAGGTATAGTCTATTGTTAACAAGCATAACCGGAATCATGTTTTAAAGGCTATTCAAGGCAATTGACACATGGGCACACACTGGAAATTTAGAAACACGCCCAAGATATAAAATGCTAGCTAAGACCCTGGATGGGAGGAAGCATCACCCACTTTCAACCCATTTTCCAAGTGTCTCCCCTCTCAGGGAAGGGGGAGTTTATCCTGCTCAGCCACACTTTCCAGGGGGGGGGGGACATCCATGTAAAACTACAATTTTTTTCAGGAGGGGAGATCCTGGAAATAGTACAAATTAATTATAATGTATAGTTTTTTAGAATTGAGAAAAAAGTTTCGGGAGGGAGGGGGGTGAATGCTGTCCAAAAATTCTACCTTGTTAAACATTTGCTGTTTAAAATTCATCTCTTCTTTTGTCGACTGGAGTTGATGTTCAATGTCAACTCTGAGCAATATTTCTTCCTCCAGACTACACTTTGACGTCTCAACAGCTTCTTTCAGCGCATAATTTTCCTTTTCCAACACGTCAACGTCACCTTCCATCTTTCGTTTATCTCGAATTGTTTTCTCCAAGATTTTCTCACTGTGACAAAGTTTCGTCTCGGCAAGTTGAAGATTCTCTTCGCATGTGTTGAGCTTCTTGGATGTATCATCATACCTAAGGAAGAGGTACATTTGAATTTTGAGCTTCAATCACTCCCCCATGACCAGCTTAACTAGGCAGGGCTCGAAACTTGAAATTTTTGTCAGTATCCAAGTGGATACCAGCATCATAGAATCTAGTATCCATCCTTGAAATATAGTAACCCAGATCTGGATACTAGATATTCTATTTCCAGTATCTAAGCAAGGCAAAATTTTACCTTGCAACCAGGCCTTCAGTTGCTGAGCAAAAACCTGGCCTTTAGTTTCAATAATAAAAATATGTATTGAAATTCGAAAAAACTGAAAACAATACACTGCGGCGATACGAAAGAAAGCACCGTTTGTGAAATTTTTTTTTTTTAAATATTCTGCCAAAATCCGTAGACATTGAAGTTCAGAAACATGCCAAACGTCTAGATGATTATCTACTATCGCAATTTCTAAGTTTTCCTAGTATCCAGTTGGGATACTGAGCTTATGATACTGAGCTTATGATACCCAGTATCCAAAATTAAAATCTGATATCCTGTGGATATCGGGATACCGCAAGTTTCCAGCCCTGCTAGGCTGTTGCGGTATTGAAAAGACACCCCGAAAACAGAAAAAATACCGACAATTTTTCGCAATTGTATATAACATAATTTTAATTAAGCAAGATTTTCTGTTTTCAAATGATGTTAAAGTTTGCTGGTTACTCTGGTTTAAATAAATGATTACAAAGCCCAGTCGAATTGTAATCAAGACCCAACGTTTCGACACTCGATCCAGTCTAGTGTCTTCATCCGGGGTGATCTAAAGTTGCAATGGGGCTTCTTATATGCCCAAGGGATGACGTCATCTGCCAATAAGATGCATGCAAGATACTCTTGCTTTTCCTGCAAGGTTGACTATACCTGTCACGTTTTAGACAGAGTTAATATTTTTAGACTTTTGTAATTTTGTATCATTTTGTGTTTTAACCCATTGAGCCGCAATGCACCCCAGTGCGCGCTACTTATTTTTTTTACTTGTCTAACGCCAGACGATTTTACTCATCAATGGGGAAGCTCTGCCTCTTAATGGGTTAAACCCTAATCCTAACCCAAATCTAAAAATAGGGGATGACATCCTCACAACACTACCCTGGTTCCAGAGGTTTATTTTTATTATTTTCATTGCGAAGGGGAGAGGAAAAATAAACCTCTGGTTGAAAGCGGCAATTGATTCGAGCCGCGCCAATCAGTTTGAATTAGACCCCGACTCTGTCTCTGATTGGATGATTGAATTACTGGTCAGACCCGACTCTGTCTCTGATTGGATGATTGTATTAAAGCTCTTTGATTGATTCAAACAAAACATCTATAACCAATCAGAGAGCTTTAATACAATTATCCAATCAGGAGACAGAGTCAACATCTGACCCTAATTCAAACTGATTGGTGCACTCGATGAATCAATTGCCGCTTTCAACCAGAGGTTTATTTTAAACCTCTGGAACCAGGGTATCACAACACTTATCTGGTACCCAAATTTTTCTTGAGCAAAGTTTTGAAGTTGAACAATAATTTATATATATAATAGTCAGTGGGGTAGCCAGCCCAACAATTTAGTCCTGCTATGCAAATTCAAAATTATTATCATTCATTTCTTTAGAAATTGATTGTTTTCACAGTCAATGAACACGAAAATATTTGTATAGTGGGACTAAATCGTCGGGCTGGCTACTCTATTGATAATAGTTACGTTTTTGGCTGATCTAAATTGTGAAATTGCTGGCTAATAGATGTAATTGTGAAAACGGTGTATAATGCCAGATTTTGACCGTAGCTGACACTCCGTAAAACTAGCCGGTGCGATATTTAATATTTTAAAAAACCGAAAAAGGAAAAAAATACCGATATATTGATATTTTTTCGAGATTGAATTTTGCTTGCAGAGTTAGCACATTTATCATCTTTGTCCTTCTAAAATAACTCCAATCAGCGCTTCAAAAAGCTTGATATGACATCTAAATATATACAAATGTAAACGTGATATCGATAATACCAAAAATATAGATATTCTGATATAACGAAAATTTCAATATCGCATGATCGATATTTATAAAAACGATAATTATCGGTATACCGCAACAGCCTATGTTAAACTATCACAGGATATTATTACACGGCTGCAAATTACTGTCGGACAATGTCAGACTAAATTTGGCAAATGTCCGAGCAAAAGTAATTTTAATCTTGTTTCTAAAACTTTCACCTTTGTTGTTCATAACTTATTATTCATTTTTATTTCTCAAGGATATATACAAAAGGTTAATGTAATTAAATTTGCAACGTTTCGGACATTTTAAATGTCCGTCTTCAGGCGAACAATTGTTGCTAAACAAAGTAATTTCGATTGGACATTGGTCCATCTGATCACAAAAAAAAATTGTCACATACATTTCTTTGCTGTGACAAAATCCAATTGCAAATTCACTCAATTTGCATTTTGCAATAAGGCATTCTAGCATTTTACTTAATACGTTGCGTCGGAATGGCTATACAATGGTCTTGTGACTTATATATATATATATATTTTGTGACGTATATATGTCAGACCAAATTTAGTGATGTTGGTTTTTGTCCGACCAAATTCAAGTTATGTCCGACCAAAATTAAAAGTGATCGGACAAATGTCCTGTCAAGTCAAACATTTATTTGCAGCCCTGTTATTATTACTGACAAATTAAATAATCAATGAGTCAACTTGTGTGGACACATTTGAAACACAATGCAGGGTGCAATAATTCAAAACTTTTAGTCGTACCTGACTGGTACTCCACATACTTGAACTGGTACAAACTTAAGACTCAAGGGGTACTTAGTCCCATCTCATCAGTTCACATCAGTCCAATCATGTTTAATGCCAAGTCATGTCAGACTTTCATTACATGGTTTTGAATAACTTAGGCTTGGAAACGTCATATGCTACATGGTACAAGTGGGAGCTAAGTACGCAGATAGCAAGAGTTCTGCATACTGTACCTACAAAATACGTGGCTAAAAACAAAGAGGTACTATACAACCATATTGGAGTGCCTCCGGTACGATTAATCACACCTTGCAATTTGTCAATCATTATTTCAGGGGCAAATTAAGAGCAAAAGCATGCCAGATAGATGGTGTGCTACACAGCTACAGAATGCGACACATAATATATCCAGGCAAATATACTTTGTACTTATGTAGATTTTTTCAATCAAAATCTGTGTTGTCAAGCACTTATGTTTCGTTACAGTTAATCTCCTGCGTAATAATACAAATATAACCAATGGTAGATGTTTTCTGGAATGATCCATCATCAAGTTCAATATTGACAGTCTATAAGGTGTGGTACTCAGGGACTTTATCACATTGTTTCACCCAGAACCACAATTCCAGAGGTTTTATTAGAAAATCTTGAAAACAACATTTATTGCTATTGTCCACACACAAAGCCCAGCTGGACACGTTGGCTAAACACAGCTTTATGAAAACTGTAGGATCATGCTAGCTTTTGTTCAAATGCATTTGTCACAATAAATTTGTCACAAATTTACCATCTACACGAGCAAAATATCTTTGACATATGAAATTTGTCACAATAAAATTTTGCTCGTGTAAACGGGGTTTTTATAGCATAGGTTCATTTCCTATTAAAACATTGTTTGCATTCTTCACCACAAACATTTGGTATAATTTTGAAGGCAAAGGACGTCATATGTTGCCAAGAAATATTGGACTTAATCTCAAATATTAACTCACGAAGTATAAATGCAATTATAGTTCGCTAGAGTAACTCTGTGGCAATTTAGGGAGAACAATTTGAAACAAAAGCATAAAGCAAATGGCCATTATAAATAAACGACGCTAATTTTCTACGCCTTCTGTGACAGCTCCAAAAGCAGGTCACGAAATCTTGAAATAACACCGTTTAATTAACAAGTCTTTAATAATATAGCCTCTTTTACCGGGTGTTATGTCTTTATAGCCCACACAGATGTACTACACCTTTCTCAAAGTGTCAATTTTTTTATAGAACGCTGGGTTTATTGCATACAAACGCTGCTAATGCCCGCTCGAATTGTGCATGACAGTCAAGTTTGATCGTTATTATTAATTCAATATGCTCAATAATCAATATATATTTTCGTGACTGGCCAGCAATCTTGACAAATAGTTTGTTTTCTGCTTGGAATTTAAGTGTATCTTTAATCAAAATGCTGTGTAATGCACGAGTTGTTTACGATATACATCTATATATTTGAAATCGACCGCAACCAAAGACAGACACCGACAAAGTAACACGTATCAAGGTGTTTTTATAGAAGGAACTAGAATGTCGCCATATTTATTTACACGTGCTTCGACAAAAAATATATACGAAAACTTATTTACTTAGTTTATTAATAAACCCTGTTCAGAACTACGTATAAATAAGAACACGTCGTTGAAAGCGATCGTGAAACAAGCCATGTTTACTTACTTTATTTTGTATTCTGCAACAATGCTCGCGTTTCGCCCGCTTTCGAGCTGTATTCGAGCCTTTTCCATCGAGGTTTCGTCCAGCATTTTTCGAGCATCGCTGAGCTCATTTTCGAACATGTTTTTCATATTGTTCACCTCGTTTTCCGTACGGACCTTTGTCGTTTCAATCTCGGCCGATAGACTAGCATTTTCGGCTTCTAAATTCTTCACTCGCTCGATATACACAGATAAGCGATTGTTCAAATGCCCAAGTTCGTCCCGTTCCTGCATCCTCGATATTTTCGTTGGCGATGCAAAACTGGCGTTATCCGACTTCTTATTTGCCGGCGTACTGTGACTGTGATTTGAACGTGTAGCAGTAGCCATAGCTATAAAAATATTGAGAGAAACAGCCCTAAAATCAAACAAACTCCCCTTCGTTCGACAAACTTTCGAGCGGAACGCTTTGTTCAATAGCGCGGCAAGGGTTTCTGTATTTGGCATATATAATACTGACCAATCATATTCTAGAATGAACAAAATCCTGGCTTCCTATTGGGCGAGGCATATATGAGAAGAATATATGACAACAGTGAATAAATAAACACTTTTAAAACTTTTTTTAATGTGAAACGTTTACGGTTTTGACTTTTCAGAGTTACTATTGTATTGTTTTAATTAAAATACTCAGTGGTTCCCGCAATATGAGAATAGTTATCCCCTTTTCAATTCTCAATAGACCTTACCGATTATTCTCTTTTATCCAATGGCCTCGTTTTCATGTCAAATACTTACTCATGTTTTGTCACAAAACAAAACAAACTAAGCGGCTTAGTAAGATCAAGAGCAAGAAACAAATTCGTCCAGGAAAACATGGGCAGTACAATCTTTATCTGCCCCTGACATGCTAAAATAAGTTAACATGGGAACGAGGCCATTGGGTAAAAGAGAATAGTCGCTGAAGGTCTATTGGAAGTATGAAAGAACTACAAAGGTCTAAACCTAAGATCTGCCTCATCACTACTGTAACTCATATTTTTTCTATGGTCAGCCAGTTTGAGGGGAGGTGTGGGGAAGTGCGCACCACCCCTGAGATTTTTTTGCACGTCCTCTGAAAATTCATGCAACTCCCCTTGTCTCTTGAAAAACTCAAGTGATTGTCAATGATGGATCAAGACTCAAGTCAAAATTTCACAATAGTTTTAGAATACACTTGTTACCAGCAAATTTTCAAGATCCATCGATATATATATATTCGACTTATTCCACCTGATCAACTGGCCGTAATCAGAGCGAGAATGTTCAACTTTTCATTTCATATTATAGCCGGGTAATATATAGTCTTGAATTTAGTCTTTGTAATTGGGAATAACTAGAAATGAAGGATGCAGTTTTATTTGCTTAGCTGCTATAAAATGTCAACCTTTGTCAGTTTTGTCAACTGTACCCACGTACCTCTGCCCACGTGCCATGAAATACTCGAATGTCGAACATTAAATCAATTGCGTGATATACTTATTGTATTATATCCTAATATATTTTTAGAACACAGTTATTCATTGTAGTCTTTCTTATTGGGCTGTTAATATCAAAGACATTTGGAGCCAGAATGTTCGTGAAAAGTTGTTTCATCGCATGCATGAGCCGATGAGCGGAAATTATCAACGCAATCACTGAATTGAAAAGTAAGTACACAATGCAAATCAAAAAACGTGATCCGCCCACATGAATTTGAATAATGGAAAATTTGAGTGACGTTCATGTCCGTGCAAGGCATCCTATTTTTCCCGAATTAATGGCAGGTTTCCATGACAAGTTTTCCTTGACAAATTTTGTTCCTCGTGTGCATCATGGAATGTTGTTAATTTAAACTTTAAAGCGATTCATCTCACGTCTAGACTAGGCTGCCCTCAGGAGCGAAACTAGCCCCTTTTAATTAGGGGGGTGTCTGGCAGAATTGCCCTGCCAAAATCAAAATGCAGCGCCAGCGCTAATACAATACATCACTAAGCTATAGTATAATAGTGTTAATTGAACTGCCGATGCCAATCGCAATGTACATGCATACGAATTGCTTATTGTTTGCTAGCAGTGTAGTAAGTTACTTAATAACTCTACATTCTATCATTGAAAATTGTACTCATAATTCATTTAATTTTATTGGAATTTTTCGCATTTTGATTGCCCTAGCTGCCAATCGGTGTGATTCGTATTTTGGGGGTGCCACACACCCCCATACCCCCCCCCCTCAAGTTTCGCCCCTGGCTGCCCTTTGTTTGCCAAAACCACAGAAGTATTAGTACACTTGTCAAGTTTTCCTTGGGCTTGGCGGCCGTACGCACGAACAAACTGATTTTCCTTGTCCCAAAGCTGGATGATATGACTAGTTTTGGAGGGCTCCTTGTTAAAGAAAAATTGTCAATTTTTTTCAACAACCTGAAAATGCTTTGCCGTACACACGAGCAAATAAACTTTGTCCGGCAAGGAAAAATTGCCCGTGAGTAAGTTTGTCCATAGGAAGGAGTTACAAAATATTAATTATAAACACGTTTGCAATTTGAGAATTGAAATGGGAAGTTATGTATGGGTCACCCACAGAGGGGAGGTCTGGCTGTGTCTGTGTTCAGTTGAAAAGTTTTCCTTTGCTCCTTTGCTCTCAAAGATTTCACCATGAGTCCCATATTCTCTAGGATTTTTTCGACTTAAGCTTTGCCTTCCCTGTTCCCATTGAACTGATATGCCTTGTTTCGCTGTTCCCTAAAAACCTTGAGTTTAGCGATTTTGAAAGAAATCCGTTGTCTCTCCAAAACGCACTAGTCGCGATTAAGATGTTCACTTGAAGAGCGCTCACGGAAACGCAGTTGTCTTTGCGGTTCGACTGTGATTTGCACGTGATTTAGTTTACCGCAGTGATGAAGGACCTAGAACCATTTATTTTATTCAAAATCTCACAGTTGAATCAATCTTTGCTCGCAGCTAACTGAAAAGTATCTCAGAGTAACTTTTCTTCTCACAGAAAGAACTGAGATGCAAATCATTGGCGGTTCTTCAGCTCGCTAGAGTTGGTCAACATAACACTCGATCCAACGCAGAAATTTTAGCGCATCTGGAGTGCACTTTGTAACAATTTTTGCACTTTAAAACTAGTTTCATATTTTAGTAAATGGGCCTAAATATTTAATATCTGTCACAGTCCGGAAAATTCCAAAACAAAACTAATGTTTTGAACTTCAATAGACAAGTTTCAGAACACTTGAAAACAGCAAAAGTAGCTGCAAAAAACATCTCAAAAATATTTTTCCGTCAACAACTCAGTGCCCAAAACCGAGACCAAAAATTTCACATGACAAACGTTTATACCTTGTCTCATATATCTTCCACGTGATAATTCCCATTTTCTTTTGCGCGATCTGATCGGACAACGATTGTTAGCGATCCAGTGAAGAACTTTGTCACAATCGTAACTGCCAGTGAATAAAAAACGGACGAATCGCATAGCAGTAGCGATTGATTACGTCAGAACTCTAATTAAATTAGGAATGCTCGCAAAGAAGAGCTTGCGAATTCTATTAGTGACGTAATGGCTACGTCATCAGCCGATCTTTTAGATTCCAGTTGTCAGCGCAAATTCGGGCTTCGGTCACTTTTTTACCTCACCGGTCATTTTGACCGGCCACATTTTCACGCCTTCTAATGTGATTGCTGACGTCTTCAATTAAAACATGAAACTATGATGTATCGAACCAGAAGTTTCTAATACTGAGTTTTCCACTGTTAGTGTACTGTAAGCGTATCAATGACAGGTCAAAAACAGATTTTGACCGGAGACCTATCTCCCGTTATGCCCTTGTTTGACCAGGGCATTAACTATATACAATTCCTCGAATTTCCCGAAAATCAATCGACGGCAATGGCGTTAAAAATTGCCGTTGAACGTAACAGCTGTCTACGGGCCGTACGGCAATTCTGGCAGTTTCCACGGCATTTTTTCAAATTAATGTAATAAAAATTTAATTTTATTGTTACTTTGGATTGCTGACAAGCTAGAAACATGTTAACGTATTTCTTTAGTGTTTTTCTCGAAGAAAACTGCGACTAAAATAGTAGTTTACGCATGATTTGATCAACATCTTCAAGTATCAAAATAGTAATGCAAAGTGAATAGTATAAAAATTACACTAAACGGCAAAAAATTGGTGATCGTTCCGTGTTTCGCGCACCAATATAGTAAACGTTATGTAACGGATACTTCCATCTACACATATATAGATACTTCCATACACATATATACACACCCTAACCCTAACCTTAAACCTAACCCTAACCCTAACCCCTAAACCTAATACCTAACCCCTAACCCTAACCTTTTTTGGTGCGCGAAACATGGAATGCCGGATAACCAAAAAATTGCCGTCGTTGCCGCAATGATCCACGGCATTCAGTAAAATTCAAGTCCTGCTCTGTCCCTTGAATGGCAGCTCCATTTATGACAAGTTTTGTTGACTGAAGTATTTTCTTCTGTGTATAATTATCGTACGTAATCATTCCTGTTCTAATTCAACTAAAACTCCACCACAATCCTTTGGATGAAGAAACATCACTGGTTTTCCATGTGCACCAATCTGAAATACAGTCAGATATAAAAGCCACCATAAGATGTCTGATCATATCAGTTGGAGAAGATATAGTCAATTACATACCCGAGGTTCAGGGCTCAGCAACCGAATATTTTTCGACTTTAAATCTGCAACAGCTTTATAGATATCACTAACCTATGAATAAACATATAGGAGCAAAAATGGAAATACACAAATCTGATGAACAGTGAGTATATATGTTCCAAAGTCTATGTCGAGAACTGATCTCAATGCTCAAAATCTCCTGCAATAAGAAGCTTTAATAAAACTCAGTAAAATTTACAAAACTACCACGTTAGGGACCGGTCATAAAGTAACTGCTAGGGTGGGCTGGAGTGATTTGGGATGGGCCATGAAAAATTTCTGGGCAGTTTCGATGGGCCGCCAATCCTTTTGTATGTCTACGGTTGGGCCACCAAACAAAAACCCATGTTAATTATATATTATATATAAAGATATTAATAATAAAAGTAAACAAAACTATCCAATTTATCAAATACAAATGATGCTATTGAAGCCAGTACTTTGTTTTATACAACAACAACAACAACAACAACAACAACAAGAAGTGGTCGAATCACAGGAAATACAACCAACTGGAGAGCAGCTCAGTATCGTAATTGGTGATGAATGTGTTGGTCAAGCTTGGTGGAATTATGTTTGCCAATACAGTGCCGGTGTATATTTACAATGTTCATACCTGCAAGTTTTTTTTATTATAAAAGTGTATTTTCCCAATTTAGATTGGGTGGGTGGGTCATGAAATAAATTTGGTAAGATTGGATGGGCTTTGAAATATTTATCTACATCCTAAGATGGGTCACCAAACTTATTGGCAAAATTTGTGATTTACCTCCAGCCTACCCTAGCAGTTACTTTATGACCAGTCCCTTAAAACAAGAATATAGTGGACATTACAAAAAGTAAAAGGTGAGTTAGATAAGGGATTGGCAAACAGACTCGAAGATGAAGTCCTAACAAGGCAAACTCCGTAGTACGTAAATTACAACTAATTTTACACTGGTAAAGTTCCGTCATACAAGATTTAATTTTTCACTATGGCAGCAAAATAGAAAATACACATAAAAGTTTTCTAGTAAATACTACTAAGCGCATACACCATTGTTGTCGTCTAACCCTAGTTTCGAAACTCTAACTTAATTGGACCAAATAATTGGAAATAAGTTCGCAATTTTAGTTTTACACGAGAGTTTTCAAAACTACGCAACCCACTCGAAAATAATTCCAGTTCAAATGTCTGAAGAAAAAGCAAGAAAAATTATATATAATAAAGACACACCTCAATACAAATATGATGTATTCCACCATCTGGTTTGTTTTTTAGGAATCCTGCAATCGGACTGTTATCACCCAGCGGATATAGAAGCTAGTTGCGACAAAATTTGGACAGTAAAATAAGTTAGTTTGTGAGATTTATTGACGTAACTAACGGTCATCTTCGTTCACGATATAAAGCCTGTGGAACATAAAATCTGGTTCTGTGGCAGAAACAGCTAATACTTTTTTCATAAATTTCAGATGGATAACTTGTGGCCAAAGTTTGATAAATTCAATCAAAGTTATATCCAGAGTATAGTATATTTCATGTAGAGCCTCTTCATTCTGTATCTGCCATGTGTTCTTGCCACGAACTTGGTAAAATCTTGTGGGGTCATGGCAAGATCTTGCTGGATTTTGATAAGATATTGGAGGATCATGGCAAGATCTCGCAGGATTTTCGGTAAGATCTTGGAGGATCATGGCAAGGTCTTGCTGGATTTTGGTAAGATCTTGGAGGATCATGGCAAGATCTTGCTGGATTTTGGTAAGATCTTGGAGAATCATGGCAAGATCTTTCTGGATTTTGGTAAGATCTTGGAGGATCATGGCAAGATCTTGAAGGATTTGTACCAAGATCATGCCAAGATCTTACATAAATCCTGCAAGATCATGGAAAGATCTTGTATGATCTTGCAAGATCTTTCCAAGTTCTTGCAGGATCTTACGTAAGATCTTGCAGGGTCTTGCAAGATCTTGCCATTATCATGGCAAGATCTTGTTATCATGGGAAGACAAGATATTTGGTAAGATCTTGCAGGATCTTGGCAAGATCCTGCAAGAACTTGGAAAGATCTTGCAAGATCATGCAAGATCTTTCCATGATCTTGCAAGATTTATGTTATCTAATATGGCATGATCTTGGTAAGATCTTGGGTAAGATCTTGTCAAGATCTTGCTGGGATCTTGGCACGATTGTCAACCTGGGTGGGTACTGACCGATACAGTTTGAAACTTTGACAAACTTCAGTTGAAGACAAAAAGTAACATACCTCAATTTTTGTGTTTCCCAAGTCCACAAACACTGTATACACACCATGCTCTGGCAAAGCCTGTAAGAAACATTTATTAAAACATTAACACCCAGGCCAACCCTTTCCCGCCTTGAGCACAAAAATCATATTGGTGTTAGACAGAGCAATTTGTCGTAAACATAATATACTAACAACACATATTAGTAAGTCTGGTGTGTTAACACTTGTGGCAAATGTGCCCTGATGGACCCTACTTTATTAATTTACTCGGTGTAATGCCAGATAATTTTACTTGTCAAGGGGAGAGTCAGACCTAGACAGTACCTAGTACCCTCAGTACCTAGATTGCGGGTGATGCCAATACACACACTGAAACACTGTACAGTAACAACTACAATGCCAATAACAACTACTTTTTGTAGCCAAAAAGTGAACAAAATTTCTGCTCTTATTTAACCCATTGAGTGGCAGCACTCTCCTCCTGACGAGTAAAATTGTAACATCTGGCGTTAGAGAGAGTAAGGTAATAAAGTAGGGTGCATCTGGGCACATGTCATTGCCACTTAAAGGGTTAAAATACTTAAATGTGAAGTCTTCAAATGTATTTAGAATTACAGAATACTGGGTTAAATAAAAGTTTTGCAAAGTTTCACAAAGTTTTGTAAAACCTTGGGGATAAAGGTTTCACAAAGTTTCGTAAAAGGGAATAAAAGTTTTGCAAAGTTTCGTAAAAGGGAATAAAAGTTTCACAAAGTTTCATAAAAGGGAATAAAAGTTTTGCAAAGTTTCGTAAAAGGGAATAAAAGGCTAGTTAAGCATAGCCTCCGCTCCTACAAAATCTTCTAGTTCATCTGATTATGTGAACTCCTCAAATGTAATTGGAGTGAAGTTACAGAATACAGGGTTAAGTAAAAGTTTCGCAGAGTTTCACAAAGTTTCGTAAAAGGGAATAAAAGTTTCGCAAAGTTTCATAAAAGGGAATAAAAGGCTAGTTCAGTATAATCTCCGCTCCTACAAAATCTTCAACTTCATCTGATTATGCATGTGAATTTCAATGAATGCGAGTGAATTTCAATGAATGCTAGTGATATTAAGTGCCATTTTTTATGTGGGTGATGATTCAAAATGCGGGTGTCACCGGCTCAATGTGGGTGAGTTCACATGTTTGGAGAGTGCTGCCAATCAATGGGTTAATTTTTACAAGTAGAACTACCCCAGACTGTATTTTCTCCACCGCGCGCGGAAGATCTTCCACGCGCATTTTTGATGCTTTCTATATATTTACTATGAAATTTTCGAAATCTTCCGCGCGCAATTTCCAAACTTTGCAGTCTGGGAACCACCTGCAAGTGTTTCACAAATTACCAGAATGAAACACACAAATATATCTTTACTTGTTTTTCACTAATGCTTGCCCCCAGCACATCTTTATACAATTTGGTAGCGCTCTCTAAATAACCATAAAATCATAAATATTTAAACTGACAATTTACTTCAAACAACTCAACATTCTTCAATTTTTATACATGATTTTACAAAAACTTACCTAGGTTATTCACTGCAATAGCAACATGATTCAACTTTCCCAATTTCCATATATCACCACTTAAATTCTTTACCATAAAACAAAATAAATATTTTATCAATATTACTATTATTATTGACCATACGTCCATACCACCTCGACTACTTGATATTCAATATTACAATATATTCTATAATTAATACAACTTGTGAATTAGATATTTTAAAAAATATAGAAGTATTTTAAAGCATTACCCGTTTATTAAAAGATGCAATTGCGAAAGACTTCAAAAACCTTGTAGTTTGTAAAAATCTAAAAGCCATTTTTGCTTCGCTCCTTGCTTTCCGACCTGTGCAATTTCGCACGTTCTCTGATGTTTACGTTCTACTACACATGCGCATTGAGAAGGTGTAGTATTTACGGGGAGCCACTAAGCAAATGATATATAATGATACAGTTACAATTTTGATAAAATATAAAGATACAATTCATATGGAAGGAAGACTAACAAGCCCGTCAGGGCTTTTCTAGTAGTCCACCCTAAAAAATTTAAAAAACAAACTAATATAACAAAGGAGAATAGTGTCAGATAATGTCAGGTTCAAGATATATGAGGTCCACTAATACAAATTAACTTTATAAAGTTATAAATTATTTTTATTTACATTTTTGGTGAGTACAACTAATAATCTTCAGAAGAAAGAAGATATAATTTTAGATTGCACTTAAATATGTATTTACTATCGCTATTTTTAATGTATTCCGGCAACATATTCCACACTACTGTGCATCTGTTTTTTGTGGAATACAATCCATAGTTTGTTTTATTGTAGTGTTTGTGTAATTTCATAGAGCCTCTGGTATTATGGCAATGAATAACATTGTTTATCTTATTAATATTTAGTATTTCTAGCATTGAAAAAAGGGTTGAAGATGAGAAAGTATAAGGCAAAAATGATATTATTTTCAGAATCTTTTTCTGTATCGTTGATACTGACTTTAATCTTGTTTTATAGTTGCTAGCCCATAGTATATTACCGTAATATAAATGTGGGTAAACAAGAGTATGATATAGAGTTATGAGATGTTTTTTATTTAGATAGTGACGAACTTTACAAAGAATGTTAGATACTTTTAATAATTTCTTAGTTATGTAATCAATATGACTTTCCCATGTTAAGTGTTCATCAATTATAATACCAAGGAATTTAGTTTCTTTAGCATTTTGTATAATTTTATCATTAATCTTAAAGGTTAGATTTGCGTTATGTTTTTTCCTGAATGATTTGAATATAATGTAGTTAGTCTTTTTAATATTTAAGGTAAGCTGATTATCCTTAAGCCATGTTTGCACAAGTATAAGTTCATGATTTATTTCTATTTCAAGTTGTTTCGGGTCTTTTCCTGAACGAAATAAATTGGTCTCATCTGCAAACAATATAAACGAAAGATTACTAGAGCAATGTATATCATTGATATATAAAAGAAAAAGTAATGGGCCCAAAACTGTTCCTTGAGGAACTCCACATTTGATCGTTTTTTCAGTTGAGTAAGTTACATTATATTTAACTATCTGTTTTCTGTCAGTCAAGTAGTTTGCAAACCAATCATTGC